CCCCAAAACCCCAAAACCCCAAAACCCCAAAACCCCTAACATTTTACAAAATATTGAATATTTTTCTCTATTTTTCAAGTCTTTTCATCTCTTTCTCAGCCTGTTTGATTTGCTTATGCAAAGTATCTTTCCTATAATTATGAACAAATGTAATTACCCTTGCTCAATTTGGGGAAGGTCAGGGGCTCCAGGATATAGAGCATGGGGGACATCCCTTCTCTCAAATGGGATCTGAGGCATGACTGTGTTTTCTTGCTTTCTGAGAAGGTTTGAAGTTGAAGCACTCTTAGACATATCTGGCTCGATAAATTCTATGTACTCAGCACTCTCAACCATATTTTCCCTAATACATCAGGCGAATCTGATTAAACCTACAATACTAAGCATATGCTCATAATCATCAAAGAACCTTGGTACGGTTAAGCCTTGATGATATTTTGTGGTTTCCTTACGAGGTTCAAAGAATTTAGTTTTATTTTACCATGGTTTCATGAACTTCAAACAGCTTCCATTGGTGTCCATTAGTATAAAGAGCTCTTCAGAACTCCCAGTCAGGGTCAATAGCCCTCATATGATTCATACACCAGAGACCTACAGATGCAATCCTAGTCGAGGAATATTCTTCCTGAATTAAGTCTGTTGTGAACTGTTTTTTTTCAATAGGAAATAGAATTGGAATGTATGGAGTTCCCATATTCTCATCATCGTACTTTTGATATAGTAAGATTTCAATAGTTCCATGAAAAGGAGACGCTAATGAAGGTTCAGCTTCATAATAAAATGTATAATCAAACGTAGTGTCTCTTATTGCCTCAATCAAGATTAATTGTGTAAGTGCCAACACATGTTCATTTTTCCATGCTACAATATTTCTAAATTTCTTCACCTCCTTCAGGAACTCTGGAGATAAGTAAGGAGCCTGGTAAAACCGTGGCTTCCAGAAGATTTTGTTATGATATGTATCATCTGGGTATATTTTAGTGCTATAAAAACATAATTAAGCCAAAAGGAGCCATAAGCGGTTTAATTAAGCAAAGAAATCTTACTTCTGTTCAATATCAATATCCGTGATTTTATCAAAATCAGGAACTCTCTTGGATCTTGGATCAATACTTTTCACTCTTCCAAGAAGGAACCTTTCTAAAATATTCGTGAAAGTAGCAAATTGTCTTTGTGGCTGCGCTCTGCTAATGAGTGGTCGAGATATTTTATACATTATTAATTCAATATTATATAAAATCTTCGGGGTTTTGGGGTTTTGGGGTTTTGGGGTTTTGGGG